GTTGTCCTGCCCAGGATGCAGTTATACAGGGACGGGCATTCGATGACTAAGAAGCGGATGCTGATGTCTCTGGCCGTTTCCTCTTCCCCAAAGGTGACTTTCAGTTCCACGTATCCCCAGGGTCTTGTCGTCGTCCCGTTGAACCCCTGGAGGTCGGAGCCTACGTAGGGGGAGAGGTTGGACTCGCTGAGCTGGAGAGTCGTGAACAAATGTGAGTACATTATGTCAACCGAGCTCCCTCCGTCGACGAGGAGGCGCCTGACGTCGAAGTTTGCCATACGTGCGCGTATGAGCAAGGGTATGTTGGAATTGGGAGATCCCCCGGGTAGTTCCTCGAGGTAGAACGTGATCGGGTTGGAGCGGCCTCGGAATCTGTCGAGCGTGCTCATCTTACCGGAGTTGCCCGCGATGAGTTCGTCGAATTTCCTTTTCACAGATCCTATGGACAGACTCCTCGTAGCGCCATCAGAGATGACCATGGCTCTGGGGAAGTATTCCCATCGGCTGGTTGGTCGGATTGGCTCGCCGACTAAGCTGGGTGCTTCGGGGATGCCGAGTCCTCTGCTTGCGAACCAGTCCTCGGGGCGGCTGACGCACAGCGCGACCTGGAGTCTCTCACCGTCTTCTGGGCAGGGGAGCTCCTCGATTTTCTTTGCCTCCGGGGCCTCCGATCTGGGTGGTTCACCTCCCCGGGTGTATCGCTTTAAGTGCCCATCTTTGATTAGGATTTCGATCGCATCTTTGAGATGGATGCAGTCTTCCGTTACATGCCCGTGGGTCCTGTGGAACCGGCAGTACTTTGACTTGTCCACGTTGGGTTTGGGCGGCGTTGGTCGTGGAAAACGGACACCTCCCTGCACAAACTCGGTTTTAGCGCATTCGGCCAGTATGCGTTCGCGGGAAGCGGCCAAGGCGGTGTACTCGGTGAACCTTCCTGCCGGGCCGCGCGACTCGCGCTGTTCGCGGGGTTCGCGGTGGCGGTCGTCCCGACGGCGGTCCCCTCCTCGCCGGTGGCTCGAAGCTCCGTCGTCTCGGTGCCCGCGGGGGGCTTCTCTGTCTCGGGTGTCGCGGGCGGAGTTGGCCGCTTGTGTTTCCTCGAACCGGATGTAGTGGGCGGCCCTGTCGAGGAAGTCTTGGAGGGACGTGGGCCGGTGTATGCCCACGGCCTCGTAGAATTTGGAGTCATGGCGCAGGCCTTGCTCCATTAAGTAGCGTTTCATTTCGTCGGAAGTCGTCACCTGTACGGCTTCCCGAGTAAATCTTTCGATGTATTTCCGGAGGGGTTCGTCGGGGCCTTGGATGATCGCCCCGAGGACTGCTTCCGTCTTCGGGTGACGCCGGGACGCTGTGAAGTGTTTGGAGAATAGGTCTTTCAAGACCCTCCACGATGTAACTGATTCGGGCTCCAGGCTTTTGTACCAGGTCATAGCGCCTTTCCTCAGAGTCGTCGGGAAGAGTCTGCATTTGATAGCTCCCCGGACATTGCGGTAGTCGAGCATGGCCTCGATGTCTTCCAGATGATCGTCCGGGTCGGAGGTGCCGTCGTACGTTGACAGCGTCGGTGGCTTCTCCATTCCTTGGGGTATAGGGGCCGCCATGATCTCCCGGGATAGTGGGGTGCGGTAGTCATCCTCGTCGCTGTGCGCCGGGGATCTCAGGGGGGATGAGCCGGTCGCGGTGTGTCCCGGGTTTCGGGCCCTCGATCTCAGGCCTGTGCTCCCGCCTCGGGTTTCCTCGGTTGGGGTCGCCGCGGCGTTCTGGTTCCTCCCGCGACCGTGTCTTGCCGGGGATCTGGTGCGTTCCCGTGTCGCTTGGGGGCGGCGTCTCTCCAACCGCGGTCGGCGGTTCCTGGGTCGAGGTGAGGGGCTCCTCGAACCTCCGTTCTGGTCTTCCCGCTGGGGGTACCTCGGGGAGCCGCCGCGTTCCAACGCTCCAATTCTAGCGTTCTGTTGGGACAGCAGCTGGTTCGTCTGGTTGATGGCTGCAAAGAGGGCGGCCACCGTGGGGTCCGCTCCCGCCGGGATGGGAACAGGGTGGAATGCCGGCGGGCTCGGGGGGCGATGGTCGGCGTGCAGGGGCCTTTCCTCGGACGATGGCGAGGCGGTTTGCCCGTCTCTTTCGTCGGCTTCATTCAGGCGCGCCGTTCCTACCTGCTTCCCGTTGGTGGCAGTGTTGAGCGCGAGATCGAGCGGAGTGTCGTCGCGGCGTGGGCTGGCCATAACCGTGGAGGTTTGGTGAAACTTTTGGTTTTTCTGCTCGGAGTAACGGGGAAGTTTCCGTTCCCACAGACGGCGCCACTGATCTGACCTGATCAGGAGGGATCACGGACTGGCCACGCTTCGCCGGACGGTTATCTGTTCGCCGAGGTAAGAACGAGGAAGGGGTGTACCTGCAAAGCACTCCGACGCCCAAGTAAGAAGTTGGACAGAGAGGAAGCAATAGTACAGAAAAGGGGGGCAAGAAGAGTTACCTGACCCTCTTGAAGAAGAGGGTATTTATAGAGAGACCCCAGCGCTGGGCCAACGGTCATTCGAGGTGGGCCAGACGACCAGGCCCAACCCTAATGACTGCTAGGGCTTACGTGGCGTAGTGAAGACCAGGACGTGGTCTTCGCCCTAGTTCAACCGCTCCTAGGTCTCCGGAAAGTGGGTTTGACCTGCTCTTTCGGAGGTGGGCGGTTGGCCGATGACGTGTCCCCGCGGAGGGGAGCACGTGGAGAACGTGCGCCGAGCACATTATTCTCCCGCGGAGGGAAGCGTATGGATAACGTGCGCCGAGCACGTTATTCTCCCGCGGAGGGAGCCCGGGTAGTCTCGCTCGTCTGGTGTGACGGGCGACGAAGGGGATGCGGCGTGATGGCTTGTGCCCGGCGGACGGTCCTGCTCGTCCGAAGGGGCGTGTGCCAGGTGTGCCCAGTTCGCCTGTTGGGCCGTATTTGGTATTGGGCCTGCCGAGGTGAGGCCCACACCGGAACAATTCCCTTGTTAAGACTGTTTACAATGCGCGATAGGTAAACTTTACACTGCTGTACACTGTCCAGCAGTGCCAAATCATGTCAATCATGTCTATTCATACACATACACAGTATCCAAAGGTTTCATACACATACACACAGTATCCAAAGGTATAGGTAAATCATGTATATTCAATAAATAATTTTTTTAAACAGGGTTAGAAAAAGGTAAAACTTATCTTTTATCCAGCAGGCTAAAAGCTTCATATGCAGCACGGTCTGTACAAGAGTTTTACCCATCTATAATAAACACAATATACAATGTTAAATATGACTAGTGAGTATAATAAGATCTATTTGAGTTTTAGTTCATTTTCCCAAAAAATTGTTAGGGGAAGAGAAATATTTTAGCAATCCTAGTTGTTAGTATGATTTTAAAATCAACTAGCATTTGAGTTGCTGTTGAAATTGAATTTTTATTTTATAATTTTTTATATCTAAAATAATTATAAAATAAAAGCATCCAAATAGAGTTCAGAAGTGGGCGAAGGAAAAAAAGAAGTTTCATTGTTTCATGTTCCATACAAAAGCAACAAATATCGTTACCAACCATCCCAAACCGATGCAATATCTCTTTAGTAGGTAATCTCCATGGCATGATGAGCAAGGCTCTTGGGCTAGCAACATTCCCTTGCATTAGCTTTCTCCAATTGACCTCCGGGTACTGCATCTTTATTCCCTCATACACGCTCCTCGTGTGAAACTGAGTCTTCCTCCTGGTACTGCATCTTTATTCCCTCATACACGCTCTTCGTGTGAAACTGAGTCTTGTGCATCATCATGTTCCTTTATTTTAAAATAGCTTTTAAGATACAAGAGCTAGTGTTCCTAACATCCATATGTTTAATATAATAGTCGTGAACCCACTCAATCCACAAGCTACCAGCTTTACCATTCAGGTTCCACAACAATTTCTTGCAAGAAAGTATTAAAATTGCAAGCTTGCTAATGATGAGATAACATACTTGCCACCACGATGTACCATAACAATCTGGTTATCCACTCTAACACGTCTTAACTCAGTCATACTCCTTAACCGACTTTTTGCCATGGTCAATTCAAACATAAATAACATAAATAGAGTCAACAAACTCTAGAACTTCAACACTCTTAACACTAATTCAATCTAGATCACTAACAATTTAATATTTCAACCAATTTTCTAACAAAAAAAACTCAACATATTAGTTGACAGTTCAAAGGCAACATGACTAATGGCAATTAACATGATTAATACTCAATTAATTTGGTTCATTACACTAACCAGTCCACTCAAGTCCAGTGTTGTTAAATATCGATATTGAAAAATATCGGATCACCGAAAAACCGATATGAGAAATATCGGAAGCCACATAGCGGTTAAAACAGAAATAAAAACTTCAAAAGTTAAAAACTTAAATTAAAAATTTCAAATCCAATAACTAAAACAGAAAAGCTACAAACAGAATAGTAATTCATCTCAATGCATATGCAGTAAATCATTTTACTTACTCATCCATTTTAATTAAGTCATATTTAGTTCACTATAACTGCCATCTTTCAACTAGTAAGACCCAATGCAAATTAACAAACTTGTCTCACTAACCATTTTGCTCTAGTAAATAGCCATATTTCTCAGTTTAACGACAAGTCCTTGCCACAGCCTTGCAGCACCTGGATTTTTTTCCTGGCATAATTCATCCAAAAAAATGAAAGAAATTAGAAATTGTGCATAAATAGAAGCATTTCAAATGATCTAAAAAGATGTCGTTCGTCTTTTGTGTAGCCAGACATTCCTATGAGTTGAGGATCTCACGCAGCTTTGTGAAAAATTCTATTATCAGCAGTCAATTTATCAACATGATAAACATGTTTCGTACAAGCCATTCTTTTGTTCTTCTTCTCTCACCAACTTGAAAATCAATAACTGCAGTATCTGAATCAAAACAAATAACTATTGTCAGATGAATGAAAACCAAACTCAGTTCAAAACCCGAAATAGCAAAAATTAACTAAAACAACACAATAAAATTGAATAAAGGAATGTTAGACAGAAAAACAAATCGGTGAAGTTGTTGAGTTTGTTGTTGGCTTGAGCACAATTATTGTAAAGTTTAGGTTTGGTAGGATCAAGAAGAATGGCTTGAGTGAGAAGTTTGACCGCCAACTCAAAGTGGTCTTCAACAAACGCCTCTTTGGCTTTCTCTTCAAGATCGAAACCCATCGCAAGAGTGAGAGAGGAAGGTTCACTCAACAAGCTGCAACATCAAGCTGAATTCAGTTCAATTACTAATAACCAATTAATTAACAAACCACTAGTAGAGTCCCCTAAATACTCTATTAGTGTGTTTTCATTCAAGTAGTGCTTAGGTTCCTTGCTTGTGTTTGTTACACTCCAAAATTTGCTAATAAAAGAAGAGGTTCAGAAGTAGCAGCTGAATGCTGTTTTTTTTTCTGTCACAAATTACCCTCCGTGGGTCGCCAATATGGTTTCTGTTCCTAAGAAAGATGGAAAGGTGCGAATGTGTGTAGACTACAGAGACTTAAACAAGGCGAGCCCGAAAGACGACTTCCCGCTCCCTCATATTAACGTGTTGGTTGATAACACTGCTCAGTTTTCGGTGTTTTCCTTCATGAATGGTTTCTCTGGGTACAACCAAATCAAGATGGCCCCAGAGGACATGGAGAAAACAACTTTCATCAAGCCATGGGGAACTTTTTGCTATAAAGTGATGCCTTTTGGATTGAAGAATGCAGGGGCCACTTATCAGCGGGCTATGATGACTCTCTTTCACGACATGATTCATCATGAAGTTGAAGTTTATGTTGATGATATGATTGCAAAGTCACAGACGGATGAAGGACATCTGGTCGATCTTCTAAAGTTATTCGAACGGTTGAGGAAATTCAAGTTGAGGCTGAATCCTAACAAGTGCACCTTCGAGGTGAGGTCTGGAAAGTTACTGGGTTTTATTATCAGTGAAAAGGGTATTGAGGTAGATCCTGCCAAAATAAAGGCTATACAAGAAATGCCTGAGTCGAGAACAGAAAAGCAGGTTCGTGGTTTCCTAGGGAGATTGAACTACATTGCAAGGTTCATATCTCATCTTACGGCCACTTGTGAACTAATATTCAAATTGCTGAGAAAAGATCAAAAAGTCAGGTGGAATGATAATTTCCATAAGGCTTTTGAAAAAATAAAAGAGTATCTGCAGGAACCTCCAATACTCATGCCTCCAGTTGTAGGGAGACCACTGATAATGTACCTTACGGTTCTTGAGAATTCAATGGGATGTGTGCTCGGTCAACTGGACGGGTCAGGTAGAAAAGAGCACGCCATCTACTACCTGAGTAAGAAATTTATTGATTGTGAGTCAAGGTACTCGATGCTGGAAAAGACATGTTGTGCACTCGATTGGGCCGCTAAGCGTTTGAGGCAGTATATGTTAAACCACACAACCCTATTGAATTCGAAGATGGATCCAATCAAATATGTTTTTGAGAAACAAGCCCTTTTCGGGAGGATTGCCCGTTGGCAAATGGTTTTGACGGAGTATGATATTCAGTACGTTTCCCAGAAAGCCATCAAGGGAAGCGTTCTGTCGGAATATCTGGCTGAACAACCAGTGGAGGATTATCAGCCGATGAAGTTTAATTTTCCAGATGAAGATGTCATGTTTTTGAAAGCGAAAGACTGCGATGAACCCTTGCCTAACGAAGGACTTGAGAAGGGGTCTTAGTGGAAGTTGATTTTCGATGGAGCCGTTAATTCATATGGTAGTGGAATCGGTGTTATTATTACTACTCCTCGTGGTGCTCATATACCATTCATCGCCCGGTTAACCTTCGCCTGTACCAATAATGAGGCTGAGTATGAAGCGTGCATTATGGGTCTGGAAGAGGCCATTGATATGCGGATTAAGAATCTCGATGTGTACGGCGATTCGGCTTTGGTCGTCAACCAGATCAAAGGAGAATGGGAAACTCGTCAGGAAAACCTGGTGCCCTATAAGAATTATGCAAGGAGATTGGTGCCTTTCTTCGATAGAATCGAATTCCATCATGTGCCGAGGGCTGAGAACCAGATGGCGGATGCGTTGGCCACTCTAGCCTCGATGTATAAAGTGAAATATTGGAGCGAAACTACGTCTATCACCATCAAGCGTCTTGATAGACCAGCCTTTGTGTTTGCAATTGAGAAGACGTCGGATGGAAAGCCTTGGTATTTTGATATCAAGCAGTTTCTCAAGACTCAGGAGTACCCAGCAGGGGCATCCAGTAAAGATAAGAAGACTCTGAGGAGGTTAGCCAGTAATTTCTATCTGAACCAATAAACAACGTGAAAATGACCATTTTACCCTTTTTATAGCCAAAGTGTACCATATGTAATTCCTTCAAAATAAACAGACTATGTAACCTGTTAGTAGTCAGCGGATGCAAAACTGGGATGTCATGCAACATGAATCGACTAATCTGAGGGTAAAATTTGGGGTATTACACCACTAATATCACTTTTCATATAACTTCATACTATTAACTTTCTATTTAACTTTCTACTATTATCTTCCTACATAACTTTCATTTATAATTAATATTAAATAAAAAATATCATTTAAATTTTTACGTGTGCATTAAAAAAACGGACACACGAGCACGCGAGTGTTCGTCTGGACGCTAGTAATATTTAAATAAAAACATACAATATATGTTATAGAGTAGAAATACATAATCGTACCTTGATCAAAAACTGTTTGTGTTTCGTGAGTTTCAATAGTTGAATTCATATTTTGCGAAGGTGTTTCTATAAAAGAAAGTATAAACTTCAATATAGAATTATACTTTAAAAATAACAATAATGTTTAAATCTAAATATGTATTACTAATAATTTGATTAAAAAATAACAATAATGTATAAATCTAAATAGGTATTACTATTAATTTGATTATTGACCAAATTATACTTACCACAATCATTGTCATCAATATTTCTTATAAATGGTCTTGCTTCGTTGTTATCAGTTTGTTGGAAAATTGGGTATGTAAAATTTTGATCCGTAAATTAGTTTTAAAGTAATAGACAAGACAATCATTTTTGCATAATTAATTAATATTTTTTAAATTTACTGTATTAAAGTTTAATCTATAACATAAATTAAAGTTTTTAACCCGATGATGGAATGCGACTGACATGTGTGGTACTCGGTCCAAATTCACTATCATGTCCCCTTTGATAAAATCGAAAAGCAAGATTAACATTCGTCAAGTCTTGAAATGACATCATGGTTCTTATATCAGAAGTATTATATGTTTGAACTTGTTTTCCTTTGTCTTTATTTTGTCTGTAATTCGAACACCTTCTAGCTAATTCTTGTTATCTTTACTCAACACTCATCAGTTGTCTTCGATCTCTTGCATTTTGTGCTCGTCTCTCTCTTTGACGTTCTCTTAAATCTTGACTACGAATATTTTTTATTATATTATTTTATCTGTAAAATTAAATGTAATATTTAAAAAATTTATAATACAAAAAAATTAATATATCATTAAAAAAATAAATATATATGATAGATTAATTTTGTAGCAATTGTTTTAATTTAATATGATTTTTATGATTCCTCTTTTATAATTTTGTTTACCGAATGATATTTTACAAAATTATTTAAATTAATAAGTGATGCTCGGAAATTATAATAGTAGTTGAGAAAAAATGTGATGTGAATTTTAATTTTTTAAACAAAACTTCTAAACATGAAAATGTGCAATGCATTGATGCAATGTTGGATGGTGGTGACATGCATTTTTTGTGTTTATCATTTTTGTTTCTTTAATTAAATTTTTTATGTTTTTTTAATGTTGTTGAGGGAAAAGATGAATAAGAGTGGTTTAGGTATGAGTGGGTCATGATGTCATGACTTTTTTGAATCATAATGCAATATATAAAGTGATTTATTATTTTTTAGTCTATATTTAAATAAAATATTTTTTTAGAATCAACATCAATTAAATTTTCTATAAAATATAATCAAAATTGTAAAAGTCCAAAATTTAATCAAATCTAAAATCAAATTAAAAAGGTTCATGTTTAAACAACAAAAATATGAAATCTAAATTTTAAAGGGTTAGAATAAGATTTTGAATATGTTCTGTAAAATATTTTGAGAGTGGCGAGAGAAACAATAAAAGATAAATTGAGAAATAGAAAATAGAGAAAATAAACACTTCATGATATTGAATTTGTAATTGTAAAGGAGATAACATTTTTTTAATTTCTCTCACATCTTGTTAGTATTAAATTATATAGGTAGTGAAGATTTGATAGAAAGAGTCGAATGAAGATTGATTTGAGAGAGTGAAGAGTGATTACTAAAATTATGGAAGTGGAGAAGTCATAATATTTTTAATTAATTAATTAATTAAAAATGTGTGTCATTTTTAGTTTTTTTATAATTAAATTAGAAACGTGTTTTATATTTAAATTTTTGAAGTTTAATTAATTAATTATTAATAGTTATTTATTATAATTTATTATTATTATTATTATTAATTAGATTTATTAATATAAATTTTTGTGGAATTATTTAATATTAGTGGTAGAGGTGGTTGGTATAATTATAATTATAATTAATTATTTAATATTATTATAATTTATCATAATTTATAAATTTGTAGAAGTTAAAGATTCTAATTTTAACCTTAAATTTTTTGGAGTTTATGAAGAAAGAAAAAGCAGGAAAAATAATGATTGTATTGCAAATTATATAGGGAGTGAAGATTGATTCGAATGAGTTGGGACTGGCTACTAAAATCATGAGGGTGGAGAAGTTATAATATTTTTATTTAATTAATTAATTAGAAATGTGTGTCATATTTAATTTATTGTTTCATATTTATTATTTTAAAATTTAATTGTATAATTACTAATAATTATTTATTATAATTAATTATTATTATTATTTAGATTTATTAATATAAATTTTTGTGGAATTATTTAATATATTAGTGGTAGAGGTGATTGTTATAATTATAATTATAATTAATTATTTAATATTATTATTATTTATCATAAATTATGAATTTGTTGAAGTTAAAATTTTTTGGAAGAAATTATAAGATTATAATTTAGTGTGATAAGTGCTTCATTTGTTTTGAATATCCCCGAGACATGTATGTTAAATTTTAATTTTTTTAATATTTAATAATAAAATTACATATAATTATTTTTAATTTAAAGTTATTTATAAAATAGGTAAAACGTGGTGTAGCCACCGTTGTAAAAAAAAAAGAGTTAAAATTCAAAATAAAAATTAAAAACTAATATATTTAGAAGAAAAAAAAGCTCCATCAGTGATGCTAATAACAATTTAATGGAAACTTATAATTAAATTTTCCCTTGGTGTTGCAACTATAATCAATGTTAAAATACCTATGTAATTAAAGGGTTTATAGAAAGAATGATTAAGTGTTATGAGTGAGTTAGACCAACTCCAACGGTGGTTTTTCAAATTGGTTTGCCAGCATGGCATTGAAAATGTCAACAAAATGTTATTCCAGCTGTAGAACGTTACAAACATAAGCAACGGTTCTTCATTTGATTTATTATTAAAATAATCATTTAGCTTTATTTTATTTTTTTAACTTTTTTATTTATTATAAATATAGGTTTGTTGGAAAAAATTTATATCATTCCTATTTTCTCTCCTTTTTATTTCTATTTTCTCTCCTTTTTATTTGCTCTTTAATTTTAATTTTCTCTCTCACAATTTCATCATTTTATTCATAAATATTTAATTTTTTTCCAACAATTTCTTCTCATTATCATTTTATTTCAAATTTTTATCTTTTTATTTCAAATTACATTTGTTTAGGCCAAATTTTCATCTTTTTATTTCAAATTACATTTGTTTATGTGATGTTATTTATTTTTATTATTTTTAATTATGTGATGTTATTTATTTTTATTGTTTTTAATTATGTGACATGTATTTAAATTTAATTTTAATTATTATTTTCAATTTTATGTTTAATTTTAATTTTATGTTTAATTTGTATTTATATTAATTAAAATTTAAATATTTAAATTATAATTTTAAATAAAATAAATTTAATATAAATAATATATTTTAAATAAAGTGGTGGGACCCAATATGGGTTCTTTGAAGTTGCATCATTGAAGTGAAAATTGAACGAGTTGCTTTAAAAGAGTGGGTCCCACAAAGAACCCAAAAATGGGTTGCACCATTGGAGGTGCTCTTATTGCGGGACATGAAGTTGTTTATATTAAAGAGAAATATTTTCATGACACCATATTTTATACCTACACAGTATATTATACATTAAATACATACTTATTATTATTTTAATATATTTTATTTGATTTTGATAGCTGTGCAATCCTGGACGGCCAACATAGGTATTGAAATATTTTTGACTTTAATTAAATTATCAATTATAGGTTATGATTAAAAAAAAAAGGAATGGGCTGAGGATTGAAGAGCCCAATCTCTCACTCCTTCTCTAACACAGAGGATTAGGTTGCATCTGGTTTTTACGGCATCGCAAATCCGAGAGAAAAACAAATATCAGGATTAAGTCGCTTCTGGTTTTTACGGAATCGCATCTTGTGGGCGGCTTTCGTCGCTTCTGGTTTTTACGGTTGAGATCACTCACTCATTCTCTGAAATCCCTCTAACTAGTGATTTGTGGTTGAAGGCTGCTAAAATGGGTTCTGATTCAAAATGGCATGATGACACCGAGCAGAAGAGTAGTTGTAAAGTGATGTCTAAGGCGTTGCTTCCTCAAGACTTGATGCTTTATATATTTCATTTGGTTCCTATTTATTGCCTTATCGACTCTGCAAGGTATGTTTCCAAACATTGGGCCGCCACTTTTAATCAACTCGACTCACGCCGTGTGCGTTCTACGACTGGTATTTTCGTTGAAAACCCCTATTTCCCACGCGATTCATATTTCTTGGAATTCAAAGATGACGCATTTGAAACCATTTCTTTACCAACACCTCCAAATATGGGATATTTAATAGGTACTTGTAATGGCATTTTCATGTTTTCGACTCCAGACAAAGACATGATTTATCTTGCAAACCCCATCCTCAAGTGTTGGCTTAGACTTGCTCCTTTTCCCATCTCTCGATCATCTATAAATATTATGAATCAATGTACTATAGCATGTGTTCCTCGTACTGCTAAATTCAAGGTTTTCTTTCGAGACATCGTTTTTGTTTCGGACGCTCCTTCCTTTGTTTATGTTTTCTATGTGCTAACAGTTGGAATGGATAACTCATGGAAAGAGATTGCCAGAAAAGAAGCTCCCCGTAATGGCCATATGTCATGGAAACCACTTTATACTGGAGGCAGTCATCTCTATTGGATAACATCAGAGGGAATTATTGTCTTCCATGTTGACAAGGAAATTATTGTGCGAGAATATCCACTTTGCCCTCCTCTTAGTCCCAAACCAAACTATTTATGGACCGGTAATCACATTGCTTGCATTGCGACTAAAAGTTGTTGCAAAGCATATCAAATCCACATTCTGGATTTTGATTCTGGAAAATGGTCTCTTTATCATGACATGGGACCATTTGATTATAACAACAGTCAAGTGAAATTCCGATCGTGGATCAATCATCAAATTATCTTTATAGTCACTCTATCAGAACAAAGAAGACGTCAATACATACATTTTGCTTACAATGTCAACACCAAACAATTTACAAAGATCGACCACATTGCCGTACACCCCTTCCATCAAGTATGGCTTCACACTAACACTCTAGTTTCTTTGCCATCAAGTACGTAGAAAAGTTTTATTCTTATCACTTTTATATTTTGGTACTATTCATGCAATTAATTATTACTTGTTTAACTGTAATGCACTCATTATAATGATAAAACTTAATTATTATCTCCAATTAATTAATAGATAATTGAGGAATTTTATTAAATTACTATATGAATTTTTCAGTTTGAAATAAATAATTTTAAATTCCAAAAATGTTGCTAGCAATCAAGCAGACCATGAGAAGGGGCCTCATGCAAGTGTTGTCAAATTATGACTATAGCCTAGCAAATTTCGAACAAATCGTAACTTTCTGCAATATTCAATTACCACATTGTCTCATACTAATCTTCATACTAATCTTCAGTTCCAACTTTACAAAAGATAAATATCATTCATAATCATTTTGGGTATAGAAAAAACAATGAATTTCAGTTTATACATATTTCCCTAACAAAAACTTTAAGTATAATCCTGCATACTATATGTTATATTTACAATTAAATTGGCAGCAATTTACTTTTACAGTTTTCACAAATCAAAACAAACAAGGAACCTACTACCACAAGATGAACATGTATACCAATATTTTGATAATCTAATTGGAAATCATGCCCATAATGCTTGATGTTTTTAGTTAAACTTCAGTTATCTATCAAATTGGTTCCTTGCCAATAATTTCAGCGCGTAATCGTTTGATTTCTCCATTAGCACAATAATAAATAGCTATAAATATGAATGGTTTCAGCGAGTGTGTTTGTTAAAATTAGAAAGTCAGAATAAACTCAAATACATCGGGAGCAAGATATACCTATTCATATGATTACATGAATAAAATACATCAAATTGTTTAGAAGCGAATTCACCATCAATTGAAAAAAAATGCAACACAAGTTACCTTATACAACAAGAAAATTTTTGTTTCTCAAAACTACATATTAGACCCGCTATAAAAACAGATATTTTGGAGTGTATATCTGCAAAATTTGGTTTCAAACTAAACGGTTCCCTTTTGACACCGAATGAAATCAGAGGTTTGTGAGAAAGTTGATGAAGGAAACTCAAACTTGTCTAAAGTTTAAATATAAATTTTCAGCTCTACACATAAGAAGTGTACTCGGGTGTATATTCAGTTGGATTAGTGGTAGATATACGATCTACTAAGGGCTCAGGTATATAAAAATAATTTATTAGTTATATAGTCTATAAACTATTTCAGCTTATTTCTGCAAACTCTTCTGACTAACTAATGAAAACAGCTTATAGCTTATATGAAAATTGTTTGATTTATTTTATCTTAGGTTACAAAAATTATATAAAAGCACTTAATTAAGTTGTTGTCCAAACTACAAGCATGACCAAAGTCTAATTATAAGCATTTCAAACATCCATCCATAATGAAAATTGAAAACAAATTTTCAAATACAAATTAGAGAATCTAAAAAAAATTGCAATAAACTAAGTTTGAGTTTAACTCATTGATTTTTGAGAAGCTCTTTTAATACCAAGAAGCTGATTGATGCTTGATCCATTTTTAATAGGTGTCGTAGCCGTTGCCTCATATTTAACTTCTCAAAAACAAAAAAAAAAACAATTCTAAATACAAAACACAAAACACAATGAAAAATGAACGATACAAACCACAAAACCCAACAAACAAAAACCTTCATTTGCATCACTTTCAGTTGCTCTAACAATTAATCTTCTCTCTTCAATGTCACCATAAACACCAAAATGTTAATCTTCTCTCTGTAATGTCACCATAAACAACAAAATTTTAATTTGATTATCATTGAAATTTATCACTCTGACAAATGAGCCTTGTTCAACATTCGGCAACATTCACAAGAGTGAATGCTAAGTAGCAAATGAGTCATGTTCAACATTCAGCAACATTCACAAGAGTAAATACAAAGCAGCTCGGTTAAACATTCAATAACATTCACAAGAGTGAATGCAAAACACCAAGACTTGTGCAATGTAGTCACTTGTATAGCTCTCAAGGTTATCTCTACAGACACAAATACATAATTTATAATCTTAGCTTTCCATTCTACATCACGATCCACATTTCTTTTCTACAAATCTCAGAATCGCACTATGCAATCTCGACAACAGTTGTTTACTTATTATTGATTCAAGGTAACATTCAACAAACAAAAATAGCACATTAAAACCTAAACATGAATATCTTCTAGATCTGATGTGAAAATTCATAATTAAATAGAAACAACTAATCACATTTTTAGATACAATTAATTCACCAATTTTATTCAACAATTATTCACATTTAAAACAAATTAATAAAAAATATAATACAGAGAAGAATATTGATGAAAATCTTTTCTACATGTAAAGCAAATTTCAGCACTATGTAAAAGAAATAGAACAGAGCGTAATATGGTAAAAACAGTTTTACCGTAGAAGTTGAATGTCATGGAGGCTACAACGGCGTTTGAGGAAGCTGTAATCAGAATCTGGCATGGTGAGGTAAACACCGAGAAGACCAACGATAAAACTTAACGCCGCTATTGAAGCCATTGTAGCTTCAAAAACGCAGAACATGATGCTGACAAAATATGCATTATGCTGATAAAAGACAGAATATGATGCTGACAATAAGTGCTTACCTCATCAAACATCATAGCACTGTTCTGATAAGATGAAATTGCCACAACAAATACCCACGACGACACTGATAAAATGAGGTTACCACATCAAAAGGTAGAAGATGATGTTGATAATAAGTGCTTACTTCATCAAACATCCAAGCACTGTGCTGATAAGATGAACTTGCCACAACAAACACCTGACGACGATACTAATAAAAAGTGCTTACCACATCAAATTCCAAAACCAAATATTCCTGATGTAGCCACAACACAACATTTACACTGTGAAATTTGTGGTGTTGTGTTTCCTCACAAGAATTTGGAAGTGCATAATAATAGAGAGAAACATCGAAAAGTGTTAATAAAACTACCTGAGAAATCAGCCGAAAATAAAACTTCAAATGGAGAAGAGAGTGTACATATTTAAAATTCTAAAAAGAAAGTCAGGGATAACACTTATGCAAAGGATAATGGTTCCAAGCGCAAGACTGGAGAAGCAACAGGAATGTGTCGCCGGTCTAAAACCATGTCTCGTCTGGCTAGGTTCTGAATCAAGATATCATGCACTAAGTAACCTTCATTCTTCAACAATGTTGGAGGCATGTGTCGCCGGCCTAAAACCATGTCTTGTTGTTGAGTAGAGTGTCTTTGACGTTTAGATCGAGATTGCTTTATTATCAAAGATCTACGTCCTCTTGCTTTTTTAGTTGTCAAGCATGTGTTTGTGTCGTCCATATTTGTGTAACCAAGTATTTTTTGTGTTCTTCCACCTGATATATGGTACATTAGATGAAAATTATTCTTTAATATCATAGTTGTAATCCAAACAGAAATAATCATTTTCATATGGAACTAAGTGAGGTATTCATATGGATCATCATTGCATCTTATGAGATACAAATGGAGAAACATGGTCGACGACAAGGTTTCGAAACAAAGTTCCAAGCTTTCAACAATTGCAGGACAAAGATGGCACATGCTTCTGGCAGCATGAAACTCACCACTGAATTTTTCCACCTATTACAAATCAAATATGAATTTATTAATTCAAATGAAATGTCTAAATTCTGAAGCCAATACATCAATATTAAAAGAAATATTGCATGTATATAAACCTCATCAATTCGAGTAGGATCAGAGTTCACTCCAAGAACAGAAAATGTGGCACATATACAAACCATTGACTTATGGTTGATCCTCATCTTTCCAACACGAAGTATATGGATAGACTCAGTTGGATGATGTAAACCACTCGTCTGAGTTACAATTACCTGCAAAATAGTAAATTCAACTACAATATTATTGTCACAAAATAATCACTTCTCAGTATTTGATATCGATGCTCGCTCACATGGTACTAAAAGGGTGAAAATGAAAAGTAAAAGAATTGTAACAACATACATTGAATTCGGTGTCGTGTTTTCGCACAAGTGCCTCTACATAGGTTCCCAAACCAGCAGCTGCATAAAGAGCATAAACACAATTTAAGCTCAACTTGATATTGCAATGAAACAGGTCTCAGTTTCTTACACTCTTAAGACAACACCTCTGTAGTTTCGATAGAAACAAATATATATTCATCAAAATCAAATGTGGATGATTCAATGAAACCCTACCAGGATCTATTGGACCAGTGGTTGTAAGTGTGACATGCTGGTTTTCTGAAATAATATCAATTTGCAATATACGTCTGACATCAAAAGGTTCGGGTGCATAAACGGATTTCGTAGCTCCTGAGAGAGATAATTGCATTATCAAGGATAAAAATGGAAACACAAAAATGACATAACTTGCAAGCTCAACATAAAAAAGCACTGCAATAGAAAACGCTGTCTTTAACAAGTTTTCATCATCAAAAAGTAAATACCTGAGATAAGTTCTTTTTTGGCACCATCAGACGACACACGATACCATTGAATTGAACAATTTGAAACGTCTGGGGCATTATCAGAGCAAGGTTTATTTTGCAAATAAGAACATAAGATTTCATTCCCTTCAAGTTCATATAAATGAGGAAAATTTTCCTCTCTTTTCTTTGTCCTTTTAAGCTGAAAATTATCGTGAATCATGTCTATTCATACACATACACACAGTATCAGTATCCAAAGGTTTCATACACATACACACAGTATCCAAAGGTATAGGTAAATCATGTATATTCAATAAATAATTTTTTTAAACAGGGTTAGAAAAAGGTAAAACTTATCTTTTATCCCGCAGGCTAAAAGCTTCATATGCAGCACGGTCTGTACAAGAGAGTTTTACCCATCTATAATAAACACAATATACAATGTTAAATATGAGTAGTGAGTATAATAAGATCTATTTGAGTTTTAGTTCATTTTCCCAAAAAATTGTTAGGGGAAGAGAAATATTTTAGCAATCCTAGTTGTTAGTATGATTTTAAAATCAACTAGCATTTGAGTTGCTGTTGAAATTGAATTTTTATTTTATAATTTTTTATATCTAAAATAATTATAAAATAAAAGCATCCAAATAGAGTTCAGAAGTGGGCGAAGGAAAAAAAGAAGTTTCATTGTTTCATGTTCCATACAAAAGCAACAAATATCGTTACCAACCATCCCAAACCGATGCAATATCTCTTTAGTAGGTAATCTCCATGGCATGTCATTCACAAGATAGATGAGCAAGGCTCTTGGGCTAGCAACATTCCCTTGCATTAGCTTTCTCCAATTGACCTCCGGGTACTGCATCTTTATTCCCTCATACACGCTCCTCGTGTGAAACTGAGTCTTCCTCCTGGTACTGCATCTTTATTCCCTCATACACGCTCTTCGTGTGAAACTGAGTCTTGTGCATCATCATGTTCCATACTTGCAGCTGACTGGTCTCCTTTATTTTAAAATAGCTTTTAAGATACAAGAGCTTGTGTTCCTAACATCCATATGTTTAATATAATAGTCGTGAACCCACTCAATCCACAAGCTACCAGCTTTACCATTCAGGTTCCACAACAATTTCCTGTAACAAAGTATTAAAATTGCAAGCTTGCTAATGATGAGATAACAGACTTGCCACCACGATGTACCATAACAATCTGGTTATCCACTCTAACACGTCTTAACTCAGTCATAGTCCTTAATCGACTTTTTGCCATGGTCAATTCAAACATAAATAACATAAATAGAGTGAACAAACTCTAGAACTTCAACACTCTTAACACTAATTCAATCTAGATCACTAACAGTTTAATATTTCAACCAATTCTCTAACAAAAAAAACTCAACATATTAGTTGACAGTTCAAAGGCAACATGACTAATGGCAATTAACATGATTAATACTCAATTAATTTGGTTCATTACACTAACCAGTCCACTCAAGTCCAGTGTTGTTAAATATCGATATTGGAAAATATCGGATCACCGAAAAACCGATATGAGAAATATCGGAACTTTTTGCTATAAAGTGATGCCTTTTGGATTGAAGAATGCAGGGGCCACTTATCAGCGGGCTATGATGACTCTCTTTCACGACATGATTCATCATGAAGTTGAAGTTTATGTTGATGATATGATTGCAAAGTCACAGACGGATGAAGGACATCTGGTCGATCTTCTAAAGTTATTCGAACGATTGAGGAAATTCAAGTTGAGGCTGAATCCTAACAAGTGCACCTTCGAGGTGAGGTCTGGAAAGTTACTGGGTTTTATTATCAGTGAAAAGGGTATTGAGGTAGATCCTGCCAAAATAAAGGCTATACAAGAAATGCCTGAGTCGAGAACAGAAAAGCAGGTTCGTGGTTTCCTAGGGAGATTGAACTACATTGCAAGGTTCATATCTCATCTTACGGCCACTTGTGAACTAATATTCAAATTGCTGAGAAAAGATCAAAAAGTCAGGTGGAATGATAATTTCCATAAGGCTTTTGAAAAAATAAAAGAGTATCTGCAGGAACCTCCAATACTCATGCCTCCAGTTGTAGGGAGACCACTGATAATGTACCTTACGGTTCTTGAGAATTCAATGGGATGTGTGCTCGGTCAACTGGACGGGTCAGGTAGAAAAGAGCACGCCATCTACTACCTGAGTAAGAAATTTATTGATTGTGAGTCAAGGTACTCGATGCTGGAAAAGACATGTTGTGCACTCGATTGGGCCGCTAAGCGTTTGAGGCAGTATATGTTAAACCACACAACCCTATTGAATTCGAAGATGGATCCAATCAAATATGTTTTTGAGAAACAAGCCCTTTTCGGGAGGATTGCCCGTTGGCAAATGGTTTTGACGGAGTATGATATTCAGTACGTTTCCCAGAAAGCCATCAAGGGAAGCGTTCTGTCGGAATATTTGGCTGAACAACCAGTGGAGGATTATCAGCCGATGAAGTTTAATTTTCCAGATGAAGATGTCATGTTTTTGAAAGCGAAAGACTGCGATGAACCCTTGCCTAACGAAGGACTTGAGAAGGGGTCTTAGTGGAAGTTGATTTTCGATGGAGCCGTTAATTCATATGGTAGTGGAATCGGTGTTATTATTACTACTCCTCGTGGTGCTCATATACCATTCACCGCCCGGTTAACCTTCGCCTGTACCAATAATGAGGCTGAGTATGTAGCGTGCATTATGGGTCTGGAAGAGGCCATTGATATGCGGATTAAGAATCTCGATGTGTACGGCGATTCAGCTTTGGTCGTCAACCAGATCAAAGGAGAATGGGAAACTCGTCAGGAAAACCTGGTGCCCTATAAGAATTATGCAAGGAGATTGGTGCCTTTCTTCGATAGAATCGAATTCCATCATGTGCCGAGGGCTGAGAACCAGATGACGGATGCGTTGGCCACTCTAGCCTCGATGTATAAAGTGAAATATTGGAGCGAAACTACGTCTATCACCATCAAGCGTCTTGATAGACCAGCCTTTGTGTTTGCAATTGAGAAGACGTCGGATGGAAAGCCTTGGTATTTTGATATCAAGCAGTTTCTCAAGACTCAGGAGTACCCAGCAGGGGCATCCAGTAAAGATAAGAAGACTCTGAGGAGGTTAGCCAGTAATTTCTATCTGAACCAATAAACAACGTGAAAATGACCATTTTACCCTTTTTATAGTCAAAGTGTACCATATGTAATTCCTTCAAAATAAACAGACTATGTAACCTGTTAGTAGTCAGCGGATGCAAAACTGGGATGTCATGCAACATGAATCGACTAATCTGAGGGTAAAATTTGGGGTATTACACCACTAATATCACTTTTCATATAACTTCATACTATTAACTTTCTATTTAACTTTCTACTATTATCTTCCTACATAACTTTCATTTATAATTAATATTAAATAAAAAATATCATTTAAATTTTTACGTGTGCATTAAAAAAACGGACACACGAGCACGCGAGTGTTCGTCTGGACGCTAGTAATATTTAAATAAAAACATACAATATATGTTATAGAGTAGAAATACATAATCGTACCTTGATCAAAAACTGTTTGTGTTTCGTGAGTTTCAATAGTTGAATTCATATTTTGCGAAGGTGTTTCTATAAAAGAAAGTATAAACTTCAATATAGAATTATACTTTAAAAATAACAATAATGTTTAAATCTAAATATGTATTACTAATAATTTGATTAAAAAATAACAATAATGTATAAATCTAAATAGGTATTACTATTAATTTGATTATTGACCAAATTATACTTACCACAATCATTGTCATCAATATTTCTTATAAATGGTCTTGCTTCGTTGTTATCAGTTTGTTGGAAAATTGGGTATGTAAAATTTTGATCCGTAAATTAGTTTTAAAGTAATAGACAAGACAATCATTTTTGCATAATTAATTAATATTTTTTAAATTTACTGTATTAAAGTTTAATCTATAACATAACTTAAAGTTTTTAACCCGATGATGGAATGCGACTGACATGTGTGGTACTCGGTCCAAATTCACTATCATGTCCCCTTTGATAAAATCGAAAAGCAAGATTAACATTCGTCAAGTCTTGAAATGACATCATGGTTCTTATATCAGAAGTATTATATGTTTGAACTTGTTTTCCTTTGTCTTTATTTTGTCTGTAATTTGAACACCTTCTAGCTAATTCTTGTTATCTTTACTCAACACTTATCAGTTGTCTTCGATCTCTTGCATTTTGTGCTCGTCTCTCTCTTTGACGTTCTCTTAAATCTTGACTACGAATATTTTTTATTATATTATTTTATCTGTAAAATTAAATGTAATATTTAAAAAATTTATAATACAAAAAAAATTAATATATCATTAAAAAAATAAATATATATGATAGATTAATTTTGTAGCAATTGTTTTAATTTAATATGATTTTTATGATTCCTCTTTTATAATTTTGTTTACCGAATGATATTTTACAAAATTATTTAAATTAATAAGTGATGCTCGGAAATTATAATAGTAGTTGAGAAAAAATGTGATGTGAATTTTAATTTTTTAAACAAAACTTCTAAACATGAAAATGTGCAATGCATTGATGCAATGTTGGATGGTGGTGACATGCATTTTTTGTGTTTATCATTTTTGTTTTTTTAATTAAATTTTTTATGTTTTTTAATGTTGTTGAGGGAAAAGATGAATAAGAGTGATTTAGGTCTGAGTGGGTCATGATCTCATGACTTTTTTGAATCATAATGCAATATATAAAGTGATTTATTATTTTTTAGTCTATATTTAAATAAAATATTTTTTTAGAATCAACATCAACTAAATTTTCTATAGAATATAATCAAAATTCATATTTTCCTGCATTAATTATGATAGTTGCATGTAATGATAATTGTAAAAGTCCAAAATTTAATCAAATTTAAAATCAAATTAAAAAGGTTCATGTTTAAACAACAAAAATATGAAATCTAAATTTTAAAGGGTTAAGATTTTGAATATGTTTTGTAAAATATTTTGAGAGTGGCGAGAGAAATAATAAAAGATAAATTGAGAAATAGAAAATAGAGAAAATAAACACTTCATGATATTGAATTTGTAATTGTAAAGGAGATAACATTTTTTTAATTTCTCTCACATCTTGTTAGTATTAAATTATATAGGTAGTGAAGATTTGATAGAAAGAGTGGACAATGAAGATTGATTTGAGAGAGTGAAGAGTGATTACTAAAATTATGGAAGTGGAGAAGTCATAATATTTTTAATTAATTAATTAATTAAAAATGTGTGTCATTTTTAGTTTTTTTATAATTAAATTAGAAACGTGTTTTATATTTTAATTTTTGAAGTTTAATTAATTAATTATTAATAGTTATTTATTATAATTTATTATTATTATTATTATTAATTAGATTTATTAATATAAATTTTTGTGGAATTATTTAATATTAGTGGTAGAGGTGGTTGGTATAATTATAATTATAATTAATTATTTAATATTATTATAATTTATCATAAATTATAAATTTGTAGAAGTTAAAGATTCTAATTTTAACCTTAAATTTTTTTGGAGTTTATGAAGAAAGAAAAAGCTGGAAAAATAATGATTGTATTGCAAATTATATAAGTGAAGATTGATTCGAATGAGTTGGGACTGGCTACTAAAATCATGAGGGTGGAGAAGTTATAATATTTTTATTTAATTAATTAATTAGAAATGTGTGTCATATTTAATTTATTGTTTCATATTTATTATTTTAAAATTTAATTGTATAATTACTAATAATTATTTATTATAATTAATTATTATTATTATTATTTAGATTTATTAAATTTTTGTGGAATTATTTAATATATTAGTGGTAGAGGTGATTGGTATAATTATAATTATAATTAATTATTTAATATTATTATTATTTATCATAAATTATGAATTTGTTGAAGTTAAAATTTCAATTTTAACTTAGAATGAATGATTAGGTGTCATGAGTGAACTATTGCGGGACATGAAGTTGTTTATATTAGAATATATATATATAAATGTGATATACCTAGGTTCCCTTTGTAAATCTAATGATATTCATTTTGATTCAATCCTGGACGGCCAACATAGATATTGAAATATTTTTGACTTTAATTAAATTATCAATTATAGGTTATGATTAAAAAAAAAAAAAAAGGAATGGGCTGAGAATTGAAGAGCCCAATCCTCTTACTCCTTCTCTAACCTAGAAATAAAACCGCAACAATCCTGAGCCCAATTCTCTTACTCCTTCTCTAACCTAGAAATAAAAACCGCAACAAAGAGGATTAGGTTGCATCTGGTTTTTACGGCATCGCAAATCCGAGAGAAAAACAAATATCAGGATTAAGTCGCTTCTGGTTTTTACGGAATCGCATCTTGTGGGCGGCTTTCGTCGCTACTGGTTTTTACGGTTGAGATCACTCACTCATTCTCTGAAATCCCTCTAACTAGTGATTTGTGGTTGAAGGCTTTTAAAATGGGTTCTGATTCAAAATCGCATGATGACACCGAGCAGAAGAATAGTTGTGAAGTGATGTCTAAGGTGTTGGTTCCTGAAAAGAATGATTGTGAAGTGATGTCTAAGGTGTTGGTTCCTGAAAAGAATGAATGCGAAGTGATGTCTAAGGTGTTGGTTCCTGAAAAGAATGATTGTGAAGTGATGTCTAAGGCGTTGCTTCCTCAAGACTTGATGCTTTATATATTTCATTTGGTTCCTATTTATTGCCTTATCGACTCTGCAAGGTATGTTTCCAAACATTGGGCCGCCACTTTTAATCAACTCGACTCACGCCGTGTGCGTTCTACGACTGGTATTTTCGTTGAAAACCCCTATTTCCCACGCGATTCATATTTCTTGGAATTCAAAGATGACGCATTTGAAACCATTTCTTTACCAACACCTCCAAATATGGGATATTTAATAGGTACTTGTAATGGCATTTTCATGTTTTCGACTCCAGACAAAGACATGATTTATCTTGCAAACCCCATCCTCAAGTGTTGGCTTAGACTTGCTCCTTTTCCCATCTCTCGATCAACTATAAATTTTATGAATCAATGTACTATAGCATGTGTTCCTCGTACTGCTAAATTCAAGGTTTTCTTTCAAGATATCGTTGTTTCGGATGCTCCTTCCTATTCCTATTCCTATGTTTTCTATGTGCTAAGAGTTGGAATAGATAACTCATGGAAAGAGATTGCCAGAAAAGAAGCTCCCCGTAATGGCCATATATCATGGAAACCACTTTATAGTGGAGGCAATCATCTGTATTGGATAACATCAGAGGGAATTATTGTCTTCCATGTTGACAAGGAAATTATTGTGCGAGAATATCCACTTTGCCTTCCTCTTAGACCCAAACCAAACTATTTGTGGACCGGTAATCACATTGCTTGCATTGCGACTAAAAGTTGTTGCAAAGCATATCAAATCCACATTCTGGATTTTGATTCTGGAAAATGGTCTCTTTATCATGAGACCGGACCATTTGATTATACCACTCCACAACTGAAATTCCTATTGTGGATCAATCATCAAATTATCTTTATAGTCGCTCTATCAGAACAATACATACATTTTGCTTACAATGTCAACACCAAACAATTTACAAAGATCGACCACATTGCCGTCCACCCCTCCCATCACGTATGGCTTCACACTAATACTCTTGTTTCTTTGCCATAAGTATGTCTTCACTCTAACACTCTATTTCTTCACTTTTATTTTGGTAGTATTCATACCATCAATTATCAATTATCATTTTTTTTTATTTGTCATGGATGTTTTAGTTAACATGATTGATAACCCTTTAACATCAGGACCAGAATTGAGTTCCAAACTTGTGGGAAAAGCTCAAGGCTTCTATGCATCTGCTTCATCACAGGTTGAACTTGGTTTTCTTATGGCTATGCATTTTGCTTTCATTGAAGGAAAGTATAATGGAAGTACTATCACTATCTTGGGGAAGAATCCTGCCATGAGTAAGGTCAGAGAGACGCTAATTATGCCGTAAACATCTCAAAAAATATCTCCCAATTATGCCGTAAAATTTTAAAGTATCATTGGAGTAATACTAAAGCTCGTAGCTTCATTTTCTTAATTTTGTAAAATAAAACCTGTTTCATAACTTCTTTTCTATCTTTTGTAAAATCAAACCTATTTTAAAATTTATTTTCCCGAAAGTATACATTCACAAAGTCACAAATATAAACTAACAAAATGTGTCACAAATATAAACTAACAAAATGTATGAACTTTTATGCATTGATCCAACTAGTATTTTCAAATATCTGTAATTTATTTTTGTTTATAAAAATAATTGTATAAACAATAGATTTTTTTATAGTTTATAAAATTATTTGTAATTTATATTTGTTTATAAAAATAATTGTATAAATAATAGACTTTTTTTTGTTTATAAAAGTATTTGCAATTTATTTTTTTTAAAAAATAATTGTATTAACAATAGATTTTTTCCAAATTATAAATATATTAGTAATTTATTCCTGTTTATAAATATAAGGCTTAATTGTAATTTTAATCACTCTATTTTTATTTATTTTTTAGTTTTGACTAGGGCTGGCAATGAACCAAACCAACTCGAAGATAGTTCGGAATTCGACTCGACAATTAAATCGTTGAACTAGGTTCATGAACCAAATGAGTTGAGTATGAGCGGAAAATTAAGTTCGCTAACTAAATGAGCTGAACTTGAACTATACATAGTTCGACTCGTTAGGTTCATGAGTCAACTCGATTACATATGAAAAGAATTATACTGACTTTAAGATTAGGTTTAAATATTTACTTCAAATCTTAGACAAATTTAATCTTCAATTTAGTAGTTTTTGAATTAGACTCTCAAATGTATCTCTTGAAAGTTGTGTACGTTTTGAATTAGTAGATTTCGAAGATAAAGTTAAATTTCAATATGATAACTTTTATTTTATTTTAATATTTTATTTAAAAAATATATATTTATTTAAAATGTCAAATATACTAAAAAATATATATATTTAAAAAATAGTTTTTAAGTTCGTGAACCATGTGACCTGAACCTAATGAGATGAACCTAACGAGTCGAACCGAACTGTTCGTGAACTTATAACGAGTCGAGTTTGAGCTTAAAAAAAAGTTCGTGTCGAACTCGAACTCGAATTCGAACAATTCTTAACGAGTCGAGCCGAGCTGAGGTGAGTTCGACTCGACTCGACTCATTTCCAGCCCTAGTTTTGACCCTCTATTTTAAAATCTAGAATTTTTGTCCATTTATTTTCAATTTTTTTGAGTTTTAGTTCCCCTATTTTAAAATTTGAAATTTGTGTCCTTCTATTTTCATTTTTTCTGAGTTTTGCTCCCCTTATTTTTATTTTTTAAAACTTTTGGTTCTCTATTAAATTTGTTCCCAATTGAAAAAGGGATTAAAATTCAAAACAAAACTTAAAATAGGGGATCAAAACTATAAAAGAAATAAAAATAGAGGGATCAAAATTTTGAATTTTAAAATACGGGGATCAAAACTCCAAAAAATTGAAAATAGAATGACAAAAATTCCAGATTTTAAAATAGGGGGATTAAAATTAAAAAAAATGAAAATAGAGGGATCACAATTACAATTAAGCTTAAATATAATTATATTAATAATAAAAAAAATTATTTATAAAAGTATTTATAACTTATTCTCGTTTGATGTAACTTATTTTCGTTTATAAAAAATAACTATTAATAATAAAATCTGGATGAGTATTTTACGACAGTGAACTTAAGGTTCTCAAAAAGAGAATAATAATTGATACATTGAAACATACAAATAGTGAAAGAATAATCAAACAACACTTTAATATTTTTATTATAATAATAAAGAAAACGATTATAAATAATAAATTTCCTTTTGTATAGAATAATATTTATAGTTTCATTATAATATGTAACAAAGATAAGAAAAAAAAGATATAAACACCAATTTTTAAAATATTAATTTTGTCGTTGAAAAATCTCCAAGATATTCTATGTACCTAAATAACCAAAGTGTCATATATCCAAAACAATAACCATCATTTTTCATTTTTAAAATGCGGCAAACAACATTAAATTAAATGAGATTAGTTGCATCTACTGTAAAAAGTGAGTGATTGTGTTCTCTTTTATAGTGTAGAGGTAAAAATAATGAATATACACTATTGATTAACTTAATTCAAAATAATAAGAGTCGTCACCACACTTTTTATTTCTTTCACAAAGGAATAGGAAAAAGAGAAAACAAAATCTAAAATAAATCTAAAAGCAAAAAACTAAAGAAACAGACAGAGATCGAATAAGGGGGTTTGGTTACGCAGAGGGAAGGTGCTAGCACCCAAAACGTCTATAGTACTCTATATGAGCCCTTTGAAAAACTTACGCTTGTACATCATTAGCAGAATTTTATCCAAAAGCATACTATCAGCAATTATGGGTACTTAGTTTTCGTCATCCTTCCTCCAATCTTTGCTAAACAGCAATGCGATAAAGGAAGTGAAGTAGAAATTTTTTGTAACTTTTGCAATAAATAAGAAAAGAAGAGTGAATACGAATGAACTTGATGAAAAAACGCATAATTATCACATCAACAATACCATTAATAAATAACAACGTCTGAAAGCAAATAACACTTTAACAGAAAAGAAACTATAAATGCATAGGAATGACATGATATAAAAATTATCATCATTGGGGACTGGTCTTTTCTTTCTTGATTCACTGTCTTGAGAAGATGCATCTTAAAGTCTTCGAACTCATTCGGGCACGATGCTGATATACACAACCAAATTCCCTTCTTGAAAGAATATGCACTTCTTATCAATCAATTGTTGCACCTTGGCTTGGAAAACTTTGCAATCTTCAGTTGAATGTCCCATTGATCCATCGTGATATCTGTCGCTACTGCGAAAATCGAAGGCCGACAATAACTAACAGAGTCGCCACCTATCGTTATTTATCCCAAAGGAGGGAAAGGAAACGATCGGAAAAAAACCTGACGAAAACGGGAAAAGACGAGGTCGTCGCAACCAAGTCCTAGGTTCGGGAGTCGGTTACGCAAAGGGAAGGTATGAGCACCTCTCACGTCCGTCGTACTCGACGGGATCCACGCATTGTTTGCTATCTAAAGGGTGTATAAACTATCTACGCTAAAGGCTTATGGACAAAAAAAAAAAGAAAAGAGAACTGACTCGGCAAAGCAACGACGCTTTGTGCCTACGTATCTCATCTGAAATGAGAAGTCAGAGTCAACGTAGTTCGGCTAACTACGGCTAAAGAAGGGGGGGAAGGTTGCTCGCCAAGACATCGCGTCTTGTGCCTACGTACTTTTATCTGGTATGAAAGATCAGAACAAACGTAGTTCGGGCCAAAGAGAACACAGGTTGTTCAAAGATTTTACCCGAGTAGGGTTAACAGACAGTTCTAGCAGTTGATGTATGCAGCTCGACCCTTGGAGACTTAGGCGTTACCGTTTGCGATAGAAACTGAAAGTTAACAACACTCTTGCTTATGAAAAAGATTTTCCTGATTAAGACCCCAAGGGGTGAGAAAAAAAAGAGTTTGAGTTGTTTTTGTGTTTTTTAAGGAAGAAGTGTTTTGAATTAGAATGTTCATAATGTATGTTGTAACAAAGTCTAAAACCTAGGATCGAATGTGTCGCATATTGTCCTAAGGACGTATACTAAACACTATAGGCAATTGAGAGGTAACCACTCAATCACCATTTCCCAAGTACAAGGCTCATGGCACAACACTCATTATATTTATTAAGTGAATTGAAATTGTTTGAAGAGATGAGAAGAGAACGACTCAAACTAAGGGGAAACTAGACCCTAAAGTTATCATGCAGATGAAGGTGAGATATAACTTAGAAGGGGGGGGGGGGTTGAATAAGTTTGGAAAATTAATACTTGAAATAAATCACACAATTATTTTTATCCTGGTTCGTTAAACAACTACTCCAGCCCACCCTTCCAGAGTGATTTGCCTTTCTCAACAAGGTCTTAATCCACTATCAAATCAAACTGATTACAATAGTATCACCTAAGAACTACAGTTCTTAGTCTTCTCAAGAGCTACTGATTCACACTGAATCCTCTTAAGGAATTTCCTTTACAAACAATGTAAATTAAATACAAGAGTTTTTAGTGCTTCTATAAAGCTATAATCACAACAGTGATTTTTCTCTTAAGATTTAAGTACAATAAGATTCTATGAAGAATAAGAATGAGAGCTTAAGAATATGTGATTTCTTTTCAGCAAGTGTATAGCTCAAGAGTGTGTAACTGAAGAATGAAGTGAGAGACTCCTTTTATAGGCAACTGAATTTTCCACGTTGAAAAGAGAGTCCAAAAGGTCTGAGCCTTTTTTGTCTTCACATGTACTGACCTTTCCTTGAAATAGATGGCACAGATAAATCCTTTTTGTCTGTGTAAGTGTGTCTAGCACAAATAAGGAAAGAGACGTTGAATGATTTCAACGGATACATTCTTGAAAATACTTCTTCAGTTTCAGCAAGTTCTTCAGAGTCTGAATGGATCAGAGTCTTCTGATGAGTTTCAGAACTGTGCTGTATCAGAGTCTTCTGCAGCTTGTGTGCTTCTAGCGTGTTGATCATCAGAGCATCTTGACACAGAACTTCAGTACTTGGCAGCGTAGGTACTTTCAGA